CAGTCTCCCAGAATAATGGAAATAAAACTAAACAAACGGAGCCTAATTAAACTCAAAAGCTTTTGCACAGCAAGGAAAACCATAAACAAAATGAAAAGACAACTCACAGGAGGGGAGAAAATATTTGCAAATGTGACCAATAGGGGACTAGTCTCCAGAATTTAAAAATAGCTCATGCAGCTTAATATCATTAAAACAAACAACCCCATCAAAAAAAAAAAAAAAAAAGAATACCTCAACATACATTTCTCCAAAGAATACATACAGATGGCCAATGGGCACATGAAAAGATGTTCAACATTGCTAATTTTAGAGAAATATAAATCAAAACTATAATGTCTTATCACATCACATGAGCCAGAATGGCCTTCATCAAAAATTCCACAAACAACTAATGCTGGAGAGCGTGTGGATAGAAGGGAACCCTGCTACACTGTAAGTGGGAATATAAACTGGTTCAGCCACTCCAGAGAACAGTATGGAGGTTCCTTAAGAAAGCAAAAATAGAGCTACTATCTGATCCTACAATCCCACTCCTGAGCATATGTCTGGAGAAAAACATGGTCCAAATGCATATATGAACATTAATGTTCACTGCAGCACTGTTTATAATAGATAAGACTTGGAAGCAATCTAAATGTCATCAACAGAGGAATGGATAGAGAAGATGTGATACACATACACAGTGGAATATTACTCAGCCATTAAGAGATGAAATAATGCCTTCTGCAGCAACATGCGTGAACCTAGAGATTGTCATCTGAGTGAACTAAGTCAGACAGAGGAAGACATATCATATTTTGCTTATATGCAGAATCTAAAATGAAATTACATAAGTGAACTTATTTATAAAATAGAAAGACTCACAAACTTAGAGAATGGACTTATGGCTACCAGGGGTAAGGATGAAGGGAAAGTATAGTTTGGGAATCACACGTACACACCTCTGTATTTGAAATGAATAACCAACAAGGATCTACTGTACAACACAAGGAACTCTGCTCAATATTAACTATCTAAATGGGTAAAGAACTTGAAAAAGAATAGATACATGTGTAACCGAATCACTTTGCTGTACACCTGTAACTATCACAACACTGTTTTACTCCAACATAAAATAAAAAGTTTAAAAAAAGATAACTTGTGTCATATGTAGATATCATTTTCTTAAATGCACTTATCTCTGATTATGTTCCCTATAAACTTACCATATTTAATCATTCTCCAATGAGGATGCCTTATCTCTAATAAAGATACCTTCTAAAAAATATATCCAAGGATATTATTCTTGAAGTTAATTCAGCCAATGATGATTGATCACCGGGCACTTTCTAACTACTCTGCTACATTCATTCACAAAATGTTTTATTTGATAGCCATATCAACTCTTTTACACTTTTTATGAACTAACCACTCCTTATTTTATAGGTTAAAGAAGTTAAATTACTTTTCTGAGGTTCCACAATTAATTAGAGAGCCAGAATTCAAAAATAAGATCAAGGTACCAATTAATGTGGCTTCATATGAAACACAATGAACTTACTCCCTGCATTGGGATACTATGTATGAATTTTGTCATATTCCATATATGCCCAAGGTCTTCAGGTTAGATTTTTTCTATTTTGGCTTGTTTCTCTTATCACTTGTCCAGGTATGTTTCTATAAAACAGATTTTTAAAAACACCAATATCTTTTCATTACCAAAAATCTTTTTCATCATCATATGAGCTACATCAAATGCTTAAATGTACTAAACAGTCAAAACGTTTGGTTCTGAAATAGGAGCTCCTTTCCCATGACAATGATTAAAGCCCTTATTTTTCAAGTGGTGCTCTTTAAGAATAAAAGTGGTGCACATTTATACCCTGGCTAGCTCTACAACATTATCATGTTGATATTCTGGGAATCAGAGAACAAGTTGTTCGGAGAGAAATTTTATAGAACACAACTTGATATTTCAGGGCATAGAACAGAATGTGAGTATGTAAGTCCATTGAGTTCCATGGACCGGGGGTTGCGGGGGCGGGGGGTGCACAGGTGTTGGTGGTGGTGCATCTGAATGTAAAAAGTAAGAGATAAGTAACTTAGAGAATTCAGGAAAATATGAGACCTAGCTCAGGGACTATATAGTGATGGTTACCTAAAATGGTTCTCAGTATATATGGGGTTTTTTCATGTGATATGTATAGAAAAATATATACAGCAATATTATTCTTTGCCAAATACTGTGTAGAGAGCAAAAAGTATACCATATACAGATGGCACTAACAAATATTTCAATCAATTAATGACTAATGAAACTATGATTCATACGTGCCCTCTTAAGAGTGTGATGAGGAATTAAGCTAAAGAGACTGTCTGGATGATGGTATAGGTGTTTAAGTGCTGGAGCTGGGATGTGATGATATACCAGAGTTGGAAAATAAAGGCAGATATACCAAATGGAGTAGGAAGGGGTTCTTCCTTTTGAATCACACACTCCATCAGCTTTAAATAGCACTGTATTAGTTATCTATTTCTAAGTAACAAATTACTCCAAATTCAGCTCCATCTTGCAGAGTGATTGAGGGCAATAGTGAATGGCCAGTGTCTAGCCAGGAAACTGCATGCAGCAAGGTAAAACTGTGAAGACAGTTGTGAAAACTGCTCATTTGGAAAGGAAACCAAGACCTAACTTTCTTTCCTCTTTAGTTTTTTCCAGGACAAATGACCAGACAGACACAGTGTGGTCAGGGCTAGATCAAGAGGACTGAAAAACTTAATGTCATATCTTTAGAGGGGGCAGGTGCAGATGGTCCATATATCTCACCTGTGGAGATAGGAGAAGATCTATCAGTTCCTTGCCTCTTTATATTTTGTCTTTATTTGAACAACTTCAGTGTAAAGGTGTTTGATGTAATTTATTTTGATTTAGCTGACACTTAAGAGTACAGAAAAAATTATGAGTCAATGCTGAATAAAAGGATTTTAGTTGAAATTCAGTCTAATTCAGGGTCCTCAGAATCAAGGCAAGATTCAGGTAAGGAGGACATGATGTGAAATGTATGGCCTGCTGGGAGGAAGTGATGTTTCACTGGGCTGACTTCATTAGCAATAAATAAGCTTTGGTAGAGAGATAGCACAAGTGGTAAAGAATCTTCCTGCCAATGCAGGAGACATAAAAGACTCAGGTTCGATCCCTGGGTCAGAAAAATCCCCTAGAGGAGGGCATGGCAACCTGCTCCAGGATCCTTGCTTGGAAAATCCCATGGACAGAGGAGCCTGGTGGGCTATAGTCCACAGGGTCTCAAAGAGTCAGACATGACTGCATGTCTGAGCAACAGAATCATCAGGGACTCTGTCGGCCTTCCAGGGTGATTACCCAATGAACACACAGCTGAATGAGCAGCTGTGAGGAACAGAACAAGGCAAATTTGAAGTCAGTGTAAGAGTCTGAAGTTTAAATAAAACAATATGAATAACCCCAAAAGTTATGTAGATTTAGGAGTATCTCACCAGAGCAGTGAGATTGAGTAAGACACCTATAAGTCTTTATGAGCCAAATTTCTTAATAGGAGATCATCTTTTTGATTATTCATCCAGTCCCAAATTAGAATACAAATATTCCATAAGTTTAAGGTGAAGTGCCCTGTGCAGATATGTTATAAGTGCTTAAGTACTGAAGTTTGGATAGTAGGTTGCAACTTTGAAGGTCTCCATATAATGGTCAGGGGAGCAAAAGTTTCTGAATTACTCAGTAATATGTCATCTTTACACTGAATCAACAGTTATCTATCTAAATATTCTCCCTTAACCCAACTTCTAAATCCTGATAATTCACTTTAGACAGAGGCAAGAACATGAACCAGGAGCCAGGAAATCAGTTAAAAGAAAAAAAAAGTCACATGCTATGATAAACTGAGAGATATAAATGAGCAAAAGTCCAGCGAACACAGCAGCCAGTGGTAATTAGGAGAGCTCTGTGGAGACAGGAGGAACACTGGTGAAAAATATCAAGGACATTAATGATGTGTTTGAAACCAAGGCCTGAATCCTACTGCCTAGCTGTACCCTACAATCATTCAGATATTCAACAAATAAGTACTAATGTAATTACTGGGGGCAGGGATTGTGACAAATACTAGGCTATGATAATGAAAAAATAACAGCATTTCCTCCCAAGGAGTCACATTCTATGAAAGAATACACACAAACAGATGCAGAATCATATGCTGATTCATTCTTGGAAAATTATAGAGCACATCCAAAAAGTTCCTGCTCTAGCCTCTGGGGATGGGCAGGGGTGGAAGAAGGAAAGACCAAAAGAAGTGGACTGGAGTAAGGTTGCCTCAATATAGAGAGGTCAGTCAGTTCAGTTGCTCAGTCATGTCTGACTCTCTACAACTCCATGGACTGCAGCAAGCCAGGCCTCCCTGTCCATCACCAACTCCTGGAGTTTACTCAAACTCACGTCCATTGACTTGGTGATGCCATCCAACCATCTCATCCTCTGTCATCCCCTTCTCCTCTCACTTTCAATCTTTCCCAGCATCAGTGTCTTTTCAAGCAGCTGCTATAATAGGCTGGCATGAACCTCAAGCAATAGAAACTATTGCATAATATAAAGAAATATGTGGTCCAGAAAAACAGCACAGTGGATGAAGATGCCAAACTTTACTCTGAGTTATTTCAGCAGTGTAACATGCTTGTGATTTATTTGAGAGAGCGGGAAAGGAATGGTATCTTCTGTGGAAGATCTTATCTAAAGACATGATTTGAGTTCAATTCTATGTAGAGATTATAATAAAAGAGAATATATTTGCCACACAATACTGGGTTCCAGGTTCAAAAATGATCAAATAGCTGGATGAAAATAAAGGATTATCAAGTGTGATGAAGGTGACATAATCAGAGATGACATCAAAAATTGACTAGGACCATTAAAGAATAATGACAATCTGAATGATAATATTTTCATGTTATGATATAATAACCAATAACAAAATTTCTGAACATATTAGCTCCTGCACGCTGTTGGACTCTAAGATTTTCACTTCTCTGGGAGAAGTCATCCACACCCAGAGTACATCTTGCCTCAGAAGGAGAGCAATCCTGGTGCTCGGCCAGCACATCACAAATCTTGGAAGCTGCTTGTAAGTTGTACAAACTAAATGTTTTCCATCTAGCGTCTTCTGAAACTTGATACTTTATGCATGTGTGCTCAGTCATGTCCAACTGTTTACCACCCCCATGGGCTGTAGCCCGCCAGGCTTCTCTGTCCATGGAATTTTCCAGGCAAGAATACTGGAATGGGTTGCCATTTCTTCTTCCAGGGGATCTTCCTGATCCAAGGATAGAACCCATATCTCCTGCATCGGCACGAGGATTCTTTACCACTGAGCCACCTGAGAAGCAATGACTCTTAGATCCCTAATTAACTTACTTTTAAGAGCCACTCTCTCCATATAAAAATGAGGCAATGGGAGAAAAAGAAAATTGCATGAGAGATTTAAAAGATAATTTATTCACATTAAAATAGGCTAACTGTTCTAACCAGATTCTATTCACTTCTTCCCCCATTACATCTTTGAGAGAATATTTCAAGTGTCACTTCCATATCAATTTTTTGAGTTCCTTCTACATTCTTTCTTTCCTTTCCCCAGATTTTTTTTAATTTTTTTATTGAAGGATAATTGTTTTACAGAATTTTTTTTTTTCAAACCTCAAAATGAATCAGCCACAGGTATACATATATCCCCCCTTTTGAACCTCCCTCCCGTCTCCCACCCCATGCCACACTTCTAGATTGATACAGAGCCCCTGTTTGAGCTTCAGGAGACTTACAGAAAATTCCTGTTGGCTATCTCGTTTACATATGGTAATGTAAGTTTCCATCTTACTCTTTTCATACATCTCAGCTTCTTCTCCCCTCTCCCCACGTCCATAAGTCTATTCTCTTATGTTTGTCTCTCCACTGCTGCCCTATGAATAAATTCTTCAGTACCATTTTTCTAGATTCTGTGTATATATATATGTGTGTGTGTGTGTGTGTGTGTGTGTGTGTGTGTATGTGTGTGTTAGAATATGATATTTATCGTTCTCTTTCTGACTCACTTCACTCTGTATAATAGGTTCTAGGTTCATCCACCTCATCAGAACTGACTCAAATGTGTTCCTTTTTATGGTTGAGTAATATTCCATTGTGTATATGTACCACAACTTCTTTATCCATTCATCTGTTGATGGACATCTAGGTTGCTTCCATGTTCTAGCTCTTTTAAATAGAGCTGTAATGAACATTGGGATGCATCTGTCTTTTTCAATTTTGGTTTCCTCAGGGTATATGCCTGGAANAAGGTACCCATAAGTGCATGGGTTTATTTCTGGACTTTCTATCTTGTTCCATTGGTCTGTATTTCTGTTTTTGTGCCAGTACCATACTGTCTTGATGACTGTAGCTTTGTAGTATAATCTGAAGTCAGGAAGGTTGATTCCTCCAGCTCCATTCTTCTTTCTCAAGACTGCTTTGGCTATTTGTGGTCTTGCATGTCTCCATGTGAATTGTGAATTTTTTTATTCTAGTTCTGTGAAAAATTCCATTGGCAATTTGACAGAGATTGCATTAAATCTGTAGATTGTGTTTGATACTACAGTCATTTTCACAATATTGATTCTTCCTACCCAGGAACATGGAATAGCCCTCCATCTGTTTATGTTGTCTTTGATTTCTTTCATTATTGTCTTATAATTTTCTGTGTACAGTTCTTTTGTCTCCTTAGGTAAGTTTATTCCTAGATATTTAATTCTTTTTGTTGCAATGGTGGTTTCTTTCATTAGTGTCTTATAATTTTCTGTGTACAGTTCTTTTGTCTCCTTAGGTAAGTTTATTCCTAGATATTTAATTCTTTTTGTTGCAATGGTGAATGGGATGGACTCCTTAATTTCTCTTTCTGATTCTTCATTGTTAATATGTAGAAATGCAAGTGATTTCTGTGTATTGATTTTGTATTCTGCAACTGTGCTAAATTCACTAATTAGCTCTAGTAATTTTCTGATACCATCTTTAGGGTTTTCTATATGCAGTATCATGTCATCTGCAAACACTGAGAGCTTTGCTTCTTTTCTGATCTGCATTCTTTTTATTTCTTTTTCTTCTCTGATTGCTGTAGCTAGGACGTCCAGAACTATGTTGAATAATAGTGGAGAAAGTGGACCCCCTTGTCTTGTTTCTGATCTTAGGGGGAATCCTTTCCATTTTTCACCATTGAGAATAATGTTTGCTGTAGGCTTATCATATATGGCCTTTACTATGTTAAGGTGGGCTCCTTGTATGCCCATTTTTTAAGAGTTTTAATCATAAATAGGTGCTGAATTTTGTCAGAGACTTTCTGCATCTATTGAAATGATCATATGGATTTTATCTTTCAATTTGTTGATACAGTGTATCACATTGACTGATTTGTATATATTGAAGAATCCTTGCATTCCTGGAATAAGTTTAACTTAACCATGGTGTATGAGCTTTTTGATGTGCTGCTGAATTCTGTTTGCTAAAATCTTGTTGAGGAATTTTGCATATATGTTCATCAGTAGTATTGGCCTACAGTTTTCTTTTCCTGTGTTGTCTTTGTTGGTTTTGGTATCAGGGTGACAGTGGCCTCGTAGAATGAGTTTGGAAGTGTTCCTTCCTCTGCAATTTTTTTGAAAGAGTTTTAGAAGGATAGGCATTAGCTCCTCTCTAAATGTTTGATAGAATTCTCCTGTGAAGCCATCTTGTGCTGGACTTTTGTTTCTTGGGAGATTTTTGATCACAGCTTCTATTTCAGCTTCCCTGGTGGCTCAGATGATAAAGCGTCTGCCTGCAATATGGGAGACCTGGCTTTGATCCCTGGGTTGGGAAGTTCCTCTGGAGAAGGAAATAGCAACCCACTCCAGTACCCTTGTCTGGAATATCCCATGGACAGAGGAGCCTGGTATGCTACAGTCCATGGAGTCGCAAAGAGTCAGACACGACTGAGCGACTTCACTTTCCTTTTCAATTTCAGTGCTTGTAATTGCGTTGTTCATAATTTCTATTTCTACCTGATTCAGTCTTGGAAGATTGAACTTTTCAAAGAATCTGTCCATTTCTCCCAGGTTATCCATTTTATTGCCATATAGTTGTTCATAATAGTCTCTTATAATCCTTTGTATTTCTGCATTGTCTGTTGTAACCTCTACTTTTTCATTTCTGGTTTTGATTTGATTCTTCTCTCTTTTTTTCTTGATGAGTCTGGCTAAAGGCTTGTCAATTTTGTTTTATCTTCTCAAAGAACCAGGTTTTAATTTCATTAATCTTTACTATTGCTTCTTTCATTTCTTTTTCATTTGTTTTTGCTCAGATCTTTATGATTTCCTTCCTTCTACTAATTTTGAGGGTTTTTTTGTTCTTTTTCCAGTTGTTTTAGGTGTAAAGCTAGGTTGTCTATTCGGTGATTTTCTTGTTCCTTAAGGTAGGATTGTATTGCTACAAAGTTCCCTCTTAGAACTGCTTTTGCTTCATCCCATAGGTTTTGAGTTGTAGTGTTTTCATTGTCATTTGTTTCTATACATTTTTAAATTTCTCTTTTGATTTCTTCAGTAACCTACTGGTTATTCAGAGATGTATTGTTTAATCTCCATGTGTTTGTGTTTCTTTTTTTTTTGGAATTGACATCTAGTCTCAGAGTGTTGTGGTCAGAGAGGATGCTTGATACAGTTTCAGTGTTCTTAGATTTACTGAGGTTTGATTTGTGACCCAAGATGTGGTCTATCCTGGACAACGCTCCATGTGCACTTGAGAAGAAGGTGTATTCTTCTGCATTTGGATGTAATGTCCTGAAGATATCAATGAGATCCATCTCATCTAATGTGTCATTTAAGACATGTGTTTCCTTATTAATTTTGTTTTATCTGTCTATTGGTGTGAGTGGGGTGATAAAATCTCCTACTATTATTGTGTTACTGTCAATTTCTCCTTTTATGTCTATTAGTGTTTGTCTTATGTATTGAGGTGCTCCTATGTTGGGTACATAGATATTTACAATTGTTATGTCTTCCTCTTGGATTGATCCCTTGATCATTATGTAGTGTCCTTCCTTATCTCTTGTAATCTTTTTTACTTTAAGGTCTATTTTGTCAGACACGAGGATTGCTACTCCAGCTTTCTTTTGCTTCCCATTTGCATGGAGTATATTTTTCCATCCTCTCACTTTCAGCCTATGTGTGTCTTTAGGCCTCAAGTGGGTTTCTTGTAGACAGCATATATATGGGTCTTGTTTTATTGTCCATTCAGCCAGTCTGTGTCTTTTGGTTGGAGAATTTAGTCTATTTACATTTAAAGTAATTGTTGATATATACACACCCATTGCCAGTTTCTTAATTGTTTGGGATCTTTGTAGATCTTTTTGCTTCTCTTGTAGTTCTTGACTATATAAGTCCATTTAACACTTGTTGTAATGCTGGTTTGTTGGTACTGAATTCTCTAAACTTTTGCTTGTCAAAAAGCTTTTTATTTCTCCATCAATATTGAATGAGATCTTTGCTGGGTACTGTAATCTTGGTTGTTGATTTTTCCCTTCCAACACTTTAAATATATCCTGCCATTCCCTTCTGGCCTGCAGGGTTTATGCTGAAAGATCAGCTGTTAAGCATATGGGGTTTCCTTTGTAAGTTACTTGTTGCTTCTCCCTTGCTGCTCTTAATATTCTTTCTTTGTGTTTAGTCTTTGATAGTTTGATTAGTATGTGTCTTGGCATGTTTTTCTTTGTGTTTATCTTCTATGGGACTCTTTGTGCCTCCTGGACTCGATTGACTATTTCCTTTTCCATGTTGGGGAAATTTTCAAGTATAATCTCTTCAAAAATTTTCTCATACCCTTTCTTTTTTCTTCTTCTTCTGGGATCTCTATAATTCAAATGTTGGTGAGTGTGATATTGTCCCAGAGGTCTCTGAGACTATTCTCAGTCCTTTTCATTTTTTTACTTCATTCTGCTCTTCAGAAGCTAATTCCACCATTTTATCTTCCAGTTCACTGATTCATTCTTCTGTTTCAGATATACTGTTATTGATTCCTTCTAGAGTATTTTTAATTTCAGTAATTGTGTTGCTTGAATCTGTATGTTTATTCTTTAATTCTTCTAGGTCTTTGTTATTTGATTCTTGCATTTTCTCCATTTTGTTTTCAAGGTTTTTGATCATCTTTACTATCATTATTC